TGATATAATTCTAAATTTCTATTTATAATCTTTTCACTTTCTAATCCATTAATTCTAACAAGTATATTTATTAGATTTTTAGTAATATTATTATTTATATTATTATCATTTATATTATTAATATTATTATTTAAATTATTTATATTATCATTATTAATATTATCATTTAAATTATTTATATTATTATTTATATTATTAAAATATAAATCAATTTTATATAATCTATTTGTATTACCACCTGTTTGTCTTGTTATATTTAAATGATTAAAATTATTAAATACAATTTTAATTAAATTAATTATATCTTGTTGAATATCTTCTTCCGATTTATCAAGTGTTTCAATCATGTAATTATCAAGTGTTTTTAATTCATATAAATTCATTTTTTAATAATAATGATAGTGATGATCATATACTATTGGATCAATGAACTGTGATTAAAATAATGATGGTAGTTAATATTCTCTACTTTTTTTTTAAAGGCTAAAAACAATTTTGTATTTTATCCTAAATTGTTGTTAGTTTATAGATTCTCATGAATATTTAATAAAATGGTTAACTTTCCTCTTTTATGTTTCCCTTTATGTGTGTTCTTTGAACTTTATATCAACTAACTAAAACATTAAATAATTTAATACTTCCACATTCCGAATATCTTTTTATCCACTCAGTGCAAATATTGTTCCAACATTGATAAATTATTAAACTGAATTCATCACCTCATTTCAAACAGTGAGTGAATCAATACAATTTTTCAATAAGAAAATTCCGAAATTTTCAACATTCCACACTTCCAATGATGACGATTACAATCACAAGTGAGTACCAACCTTCTCTCGTTAATTTTCCTATGATAAAATGAAGCGAAAAGGCTGTACCTCATCAAGAATCTGTTCAATTAAAAATTTGATCCTCAATCCCAAGACCAGTACAATTTGTAAACATGATGGGCGCGTCACCCGTTATCATCCAACTCCGTCATCCACAAGAACTCACACAAGCCTTTTTTCTTTCCGCGCGTTTGTTGCAGTCAAATTGTCATTTTGATTGGTTGATGTAAAACGGTTGTGTGAGCGATATTTACAAAAACTCGTTTCAAAAAAAATGTCCTCTGATTCTGCTTTCGCCTTCGTTAGAGATTTCGCTATTGGTGGTGCTTCTGGTGCTGTTGCCAAGACTTTGACTGCTCCTATTGAAAGAGTCAAGTTGCTCATCCAAACTCAAGATGCTAACCCACGTATTAGATCTGGTGAAATCCCAAGATACACTGGTATTGCTAACTGCTTTACTAGAGTTGCCTCTGAACAAGGTATCGCTGCTTTCTGGAGAGGTAACTTCACTAACGTTATCAGATATTTCCCAACCCAAGCTTTCAACTTTGCTTTCAAGGATTCCATTAAGAAGATCTTCCCAAAGTACTCTCCAAAGGACGAATTTGGTAAATTCTTCTTGGTTCAATTGGCTTCTGGTGGTTTGGCTGGTGCTGGTTCATTGTGTATTGTCTATCCATTGGACTATGCTAGAACCAGACTTGCTTCTGATGTTGGTAAGGAAAGAGTTTTCAACGGTTTGGCTGATTGTTTGGCTAAGACTGCTAAGGGTCCAGCTGGTTTCATGGGTCTTTACAATGGTTTCGGTGTCTCTGTTGCTGGTATCATTCCATACAGAGGTGTTTACTTTGGTTTGTACGATTCTTTGAGAGAAAAGAATCCATACAAGAAGGATTTCGGTGTTATGGGTATTATTTCTAAGTTTGCTGTTGCCCAAACTACTGCTATTGCTGCTGGTTATGCTTCTTATCCATTCGATACTGTCAGAAGAAGACTCCAAATGCAATCTGAAAAGCCAAAGGATCAATGGTTGTACAAGGGTACTGCTGATTGTTTCACTAAGATCCTCAAGGAAGAAGGTACTCAAGCTATGTTCAAGGGTGCTGGTGCTAACGCTTTGAGAACTGTCGGTTCTGCTTTGGTTTTGGTCTTGTACGATCAATTGCAAGGTATGCTCGGTGTTAATATTGGTGCTGGTGGTGAATCGGGATAATTCTTTCACACTGTTTCTAAAACACCTACTCAGTAAAATCATTAATTTTGAAATAAAAATTTGTATTTGTTTTTTAAATGATGATAAGATGTAACCTTTGAATTTGAGTAAATTTTAAACTTGGTTTTTGAAATAATATTTTCCTTAATTGATTTTTGAAACGTTGATCGTATTCAACATATTGTATAGAGTTACCAGTCTCTAAATTAAAATCTAAATTACACAATACAATGACAATACAGACAGGCACTCAGATTGCCCCATACATTTTTTAAAATTAGCCAAACTCCAAGGTAGTGTTGTAGTTGACTCAATTGAAAACCGTTTCTCAAGAATTTCCACCTGTTTGTCGTTGCATTGAAATTCGTGTATATATTGAGATCTTATTTACAATAATACAAATAAGGAATGTATAGTACATTCTATTAATTAACATGGAGATTGATCATATTATTCAAATGATTTTAATTAAAATTGCATCTATTAATATCTAAATATCATATTAAATAAAAATGACAGATTCAAGGTTTGCATTATCGGATGATTCTCCTCATTTACATCAAGAACAAGAACAACATGATGATTATGCAGTTGCATATGATAATAATCAACAACAACAACATTCATCCTTACCTCTACCATCATCATTTGCACAACAATATGATGATGATATTAATACTACTAATCATCATACTCCTAATAATAACAATAACACTGATGATAATGTAAATGATGTAAATGATGATGATAATAAATTTGGTGAATTTCTTGATATTCAAATGAAAAGAAAAAGAGAAAATGATAAAATATCTAAAAAGGATAAAATATCAATATGGATGATTGGATTAAATACATTTTTTATATCAGTTGCAACTATATTAGGTACAGGTATATTAGGTTTACCTGTTAAATTATATAGAACTGGTTTTTGGCCTTTTTTTACTACTTTTATCATTTGTTTTATTATGCAAGCAATGATTATCATTTATTTAACTGATATTTTACAAAAAACTGAATTTATTATGAAATTACAATATTTTAATAATTTAAAAAATACAAATAATAATAATAATATTGAAAATAATAGTATTGAAAATAATAGTATTGAAAATAATAATATTGAAAATAATAATTTAGAAAATAATAATAATATTGAAAATAATTTAGAAGAAATTGAAATGATAGAAGAACAAGTAAATGAAAATCAAATAGAAGATATTGTAAATGATAATAATAATCAAATTAATAATCAAATTAATAATGAAAATAATAATACTATAATAATTGAACAAGAAGAACCTGTTTTTGATCCTGATTTACATAGTAAGTAGTTTTTTTTAAAAATTTAAAAAAATTAAAAAATTAAAAAGCAATTGGTAGAATATTTTTAAATAGACCATTACAAATAATATTTGATATATCAGTTATTGTACATTTTATATCTATTTTAATAAGTTATTCAATTGCAGGTCCAATAGCATTATCATCTTTATTTAATATTAAAGATTACTATATATATTTTATATTACCATTTATATTTATATTAACATTAATAGTAATATTAGGAGATAAATATATTTCACATGTCATTTCATTTGCTACTTTATTTAAAGGTACTTTATTATTAATTATGGTTGGTCTTGTTGGATTTATTAGTAATTTAACTAATTTGGAATTTGTTGATAAATTTCAATATATTGGTCATCCTTTCTTAATTGGAACTGTTAGTTTAGGTGGTGTTATGAATACTTTACCTGTTAGTATGTTTATTTTTATTTATTTTTATATTTATTTTAATTTTTATATTTTAATTGTTATATTTTAAATTATTTATATTTTATATTTTATTAAATATAGTATATTCTAAAATAGTACATCAAACACAAATTAAAAAATCACATCAAAATGATCAAGAAGATGAAGAATATACAGAAGAGTAAGTTTAAAAATATTAAAAATATTAAATTAAATTAAATTAAATAATATAAATTAAATTAAATTAAAAATATTAAAGAATGATTGAAAAAATTAAATATTGGAAAATTCAAATATTTAGAGCAAGTGCTATATTTGGATTATTTTTTTGTTTTATAATTAATATAATGTGGTGTTTATTTGTATTAAAAATAGTACCACAAGAACAAGATGATTTAAATTTACCATCATTAAAAAAATCTAAAGAAAATGGTGAAATTAGTACAATTCCAATTATAGAAATTATAAAAATATCATATCCAGAATATATATGGTTAGGATATTTTGTACAAGGATTTATATCACTTTCTATAACAGTTAGTTATATTACAATGTCTATTGGATTAATACACATGTTAAATGGTTATGTTAAAACATTTGAAATTTATTTAAAAAATACAAAAAATAACAAATTTATTAATTTTATAAATAATTTTAAATTAAAATATTTAAATAATAATATTTATAAATTATTATTAATATTTAAAATAATTATATATTTAATTACATATATTCCTATTTATATAATTGCACAAATTAATCCACATAGTTTTTTAATTGTTATGGAAGTATTTACATCAATGGCACTAAATTTAGAAAGTGGTTTTTTTATTTCTTTAATTATATTTTTAACATGTATTAAAAAATCATTTAAAAATATTAAAATTACACTTCCAATTTCAAATTTATTTATTTATTTAACTGTTGGATTTGTTTGTTTTTATTTTTTATTTGCTGTTTTATTTGATATTATTTATACTTGTTTTGATTTATTTTGGAAAGATAAACCTTTTTAATTTATTTTAAGATTTATCATTATTTATATTATAAAATTTAATTTATATGTATTGTTTAATATTGTAAAATTTATATTAATTTATATATTGTATTGTAAATATTTTAATAAATATTTTAATTATTGAAAGTGTATTCCTTCTTTTTAAATTGGAAGATGATAAAACTCTAGAGGTTAATTGCAGGTTTAAACTTACATACTGTTCATAAAATTTGAAATACTTGCAAAATGTTGAAAGATCAGATGATTTGGAGGTTGTTTAAGAGATTTCTTCTTCATCGTAACAGTATTCTGAGTTCCAACTCTATGAGTGGTCTTGTTAGGGTTGATACACTTCTGGCACTTGTTCTTCCTTCATCAGAAGGAGAGGAGACTGAAGTTTTAGGTCCACTACTATTATAAAGCTTGTTTCCTCAAATCTTTTTCCTCACCAACACTTCTCTTTTTAGAGTTGCTGATTCAATTTAATCTCCATCTTCTTGAAAGATTGCCACTTGAGAACTATTTATTTAAAATTAATTACATGATTTAATTGTAAATTTGAATAATAATTAGTTAATAAATGATGTAAATTTTCATTTTCATTTAATTCTTGTTTAATTTTATCATAAATTAATAAAATATTTACAACTGATTGATCCATTGGATTATTTTCATAATATTTAGTATAAAAATTATATCCCTTTTCAAATAAATTATGTAATTCTTCATTATTTAAAGTATTTAAATTACTAAATATAGAAAATGCATTTAAAAATTCAGAATGTGCTAAATTTTCATTTTTCTGTGCTAATTCATACAACCATTCATCATCATTTACAGTTGAATCTTTTACAAGTTCAAATATAGTTTGTATTTTATCTGAATTTGGAAATTTCATTCTATCTATAGGTTTTAAAATGAAAGAATTTAAATCTTTACATGAATTTTCACTTGTTAATATTTTTAAATTTAATAATTCTGCTAATTTTAATAAATATTTAGAT